CTATAGGTACTGACTAGAGTTTATCCTGAAGACTACTCTCTTGTGATCAGTATTTATTTATTTATTTAAATTTCTGTCAAAAGTATGGAAACATAAATCTTGTCTGTATGGGTTCTACCTGAGTTGTAGTTGAGTTTAAGGAGGCTCTGTAATATCCAGATGTGAACATGATGTGGTGAATTCATCCCAAAGATCTTCAATTCATGCCATGAAAATGCCACCTATCTAGTTATTCCAGTGGCTGCCAAGGAGACTTTGAGGTTTCTGCAGCCCAACAGTGCAACATGAGATCTATTTGCCTGACAGGGCACTTGCACTTCTGCTGGATTTGTGTTTAGAATCTGCACAGGAGACTGTGCAGTGAGTGAAGGGCTCTCTGGGCTGTAGAGTTAAATGTCCTTTCCTCCGATGTCCTCTAATGTAATATCTACACTACCATCACCATCTTGAAGGAGAGCAGTAGCTATCCCCTGCCTAAGACCCTCACTCCCTAGTTTGTCCAGATTCCTGCTTGGAGGGAAGGGGAAGGATTGTGGGACTTACAAGACTTATGACGAGGCTTGGGAGACCCTCATGAAGCCTCTGCCTCCCTGCTTTCTGAGATTTCAATTGCTACCTCACAGTCAGCAAACATTGGAGTGGGACTTCTGGGTGGTACAACTGTCAGCCAGTCACTCAGGGGCATTCAAGTGTGGCTGCCTGTGAGTCATCTATGTTCCTGTAAGGACTCTCAGAAACTTGTTGGCTCACCAAGCTGTGCTTAGGTGGAAACTTTTAGTCTGTGGGTGCCTTCTGTATACAGAGTGAATAGACAGATGTTCCTTTATTTTCCCCAGAAGAGTCAGCAAGAGGGGGATGATAACTATGGAAACACCCACTATTCTCCTAGCTCCTTCCCCTCCACACTCTGAAGAAGTTTGTAGGATAGATGCTCATTGGGTTCACTCACTATTCATCTCTGGTCGTCTTCTCCACTGCTCTTCCCTGATCTATAAATTAGACACATCGAAACATATGGTCTCTCAGCTTCGTTTTCATCAAAGACTGGTCTCATTATCTAGTTCCATCCAGTTTGAGGATGCGAATGTGCTTGTGCACACACACGTGTGACTTCTTTTCCTAAGTTAAATGTAGAGAGTCTCATTGAGGAAAACCCTTTCCCTCTGTCGTGCCATTCTCTTCCTTTATGGAAACCTTGGTTCCTTGTGAATTCTTGATTCCTGCAGACACCACGGCCACTGTGAGACTCTGAGGAGATGCAAGTGAAGAGACCAAAGTGATGCCCCTAGAAGAGTTAGTTCGGTATACGATGACACTGTGGCGCCACTTCCCTCAGATGTAGAGTCTACCTCTGAACTTTTCAGATAGAATTAGTATGCTCCTATTTGCTTAATACTCCCGTAGAGTGTTCTGCTTCTTGAAACCAAGTGTAACCAAAAGTCTCCGTTTTGTGTGATCATTTAGATGTTTCCAAATCTGTTGTTTTTGCCGGCACTGGTCCCGTTCAAAGGCAAGGGAATGTTTTCCTGTTAAGTTTTTCTCAGTCAGATATGACACCACATAATTTCTCTAGATCCAGGAAGACCTGTATGAAGTAGATTATAGAGAAAATTATGATATTAAAAAGGTTTCCTATAATAGTTACAACAGATAATAATCTACCCAAAGTAGGCTGAGACCCAGAGACAATTTACTTGGTGGATGAGGATATATCTCATAGATTTGAGGTCAGAAAGTAAAGCTACATCTCCTTATAGACCAGAGCTGGGAAGCTGTACTCAGTGGTTCTTCCTCCCTCTGTCTCTCATGATCTCCTCTGCCACATCATGTATGATGTATTTTCCCCCTTATGACATTAATTCTTACTGCTTGCCCGTGTACATAGCAGAAAAGTCATCTACGCTCTATCAGGAAAATGCAAACTTAAACTTAGTAACATTTCTTACTTCGAGCTTTCAAATTCTCCGGAGGAAAACTCTGGTCTAGGTTCCCCTCCCCCCCCATCAATCTTTAAGAAAGATATTATTATGGGAATTGCGGCAAACACCTTAGCATCCTTAGGTTGCAAGGGAGACTGTATTTTGAGAAGTGAGTATGGGTTTGCTTGTGAGAAAGAGTGGCTGTTGGAGAAGAAATAGCGAACATCTTCATTGCTATTCTGAAGATTTAATAGGCCTGAAGAATAATACACTAGTGCCATTTTGTTCACGTAGATCATGTACTTTGACCAGATTCATTTCCCAGAACCCTCTCATGTCTCTCCTTCCCTCTCCTGCTAGTCCTGTGTGTCTTCCTCTTCTATGTTATAGGTTCCATATATGGAAAAAAAGATTCTGAATGCATCCTCATAGTGGTATTTCTAAAACACAAATCTGATCATGTTTTAGTCCTATTTAAAATCTGTTTATCTCAGCCTTGTGGTGGTGGTGGTTCACACCCTTCATCCCAGCACTCAGAAGCAGGCAGGTCTCTGAGTTCAAGTACAGCTACAGAGTGAGTTCCAGGACAGCCAGGGCTATACAGAGAAAACCTGTCTCGCAAAAACAACCTCACCTCCTGCCATTTATATCCCTTTCAGTCACTCCATCCTCAAAAAATTGCTAAGATTATTTGTAATTCTTGCTTTTAAGTTGTTTAATGCTATTTTTTTTATTTTTCAATAATTTGTTTATTTACTTTACATTCTGGTCGAAGCCCCTCCTCCATCATCTTCTCCTCCTAGCCCCACCCCTGCAAACCCCTCTCCCATTACTTCCTCAGAGAAGCCCCCCACACCCCTTGGGTCCCAGCCTGCCCTGGGATATCAAATTGCAGCAGCACTAAATGTTGCTCTGTTTCCCACTGCAGCCTGACCAGGCAGGCAGGCAGGCTAGCTAGGGGAATGGGATCCAGTACAGGCAAGAGTCAGAGATAGCCTCTGCTCCAATTGTTAGGGGACCCACATGAAGACCAAGCTGTACGTTTGCTCTCTCCACCCACTTCTGATGTCTGTTTTATTTCCCCTTCTGAGTGCGATTCCTGTATCTTCTCTCGGGCACTCCTTATTACTTAGCTTCTTTGGGTCTGTGGATCGTAGCATAATCATCCTGTACTTAATGGCGAATGTCCCCTTATCAGTGAGTACATACCATCCGTGTCTTTCTGGGTCTGGGTTACCCCACTCAGGATATTTTCCAGTTCCATCCATTTGCCTGCAAATTTCCTGTCTTTGTTTTTACTAGCTGAGAAACATGTTTTTTATTTTCAATTGCCGTAATAAGTATAAATCTATGTGGGGTGCACATCATTCGCAGTTCTTAACAGTCCACTTGCTGTCTTTGCACAACTCCAGAGCTTTTCTTCCAGCTCGCCCCCACTTTTTCTCACCATCCAGGTGTCTCCTCACGCAGGACCTGTCCTTAACTACCCAGGTGCCTCTCGCAGTGCTCAGCTCTCTTCTCTTTACATTACACGCCGTACTTACGTATCACGTACGTAATTTACATATCACGCCGTACCATAATTGTTCTTTGTTTGCTCCGGACCATATCGTTTAGCTGGGGACAATATATTTGGTGCAATGTAGAATATTCTAAGACCAGTGTTTGGCACCTAATGCTTGCTTATAATAAGTAGGCATTCAGTATTTAGAGAACAGATTATAGTGACAGTTCTTAGTTTCTTTTTAAACTGTGCCTTTTCCTATTCACTTATAAAAACTGAGCTGGAAATAAATCTAAAGCTATTTGAGGACGCATGCCACAAAGAATCCGTGAGAGAAGGCAAGCTGGAAGCGGCAGGCCCAGTGTAAGGCTGAGAAAAAGGAACGAGGGGAGCGAGCAAGGAGCTGGAGGCCGGTTCAGAGCTTAAGTAATGAAATGTACTTCACTAGTAATATTAATCCTTAAGGCAATTCTTTGATGTTGCTATGCCTGTAATAAAGATATTAAAATTAGGAATTAGATCAGAGAAAAATAAACGGATTTTGAATCCTTGATATGACAAATATAAATAAGAAGCAAACGAAGGAAATAAAAACCCTCCCGAGAAAGTCTTATGCAGATTATCGAAGGCAAACTGTAGCCATACCTCCGGCCATCTTTAAGTGGATCTGGTGTCTGGATAAGTGTGTGAGTTATTTTTCTTAAAGGGATCGCTTTTGCTTTTTCATCTGTCTTGGATAGAGTGATGATTATCTAATCTATATGTACATGTTCTTACTTCTACCAGGATAAATTCCACTACCTCCCTCCCTCAAGCTCTGTCTTTACTCCATTCTCCGTGGAGATGATTGAACCTGGGGTCTCATATACGCTACGCAAACACTTTACCGCTAGCCTAGCCCTTAAGTCTCTTCTCAGCTAGGCTTCTTTACTCGTCCTATTTCTGATTTAGCTAAACTTTTTGGAATCTAGTAAAGGATCCTCATCTCTCTTTTGTGAATTATTAGCAACAGAAGCATAAAAGCGGTGACTAGCTTAGTGCACAGTTGTACTGTAGGTCATGCGTGTGTGTGTGTATAAAATGTAATCATCTTAAACAGTGGCATTGCTGAAGTGACCATATATAGTACTATGCAGTAAGGAAAACTTAATCTTCAAGTTCCAGCATTTCCCATTTCTGTTAAGATGGGATGTCTTATTAACATTTCTAAATCTAACTTTTTAAATTAATAATGAGAGGATTGGCGCTATAGCTCTTTGACAGTGTGCTTGCCTAGTGTGAAGGAGGCCCTGGGTTCATCCCTAGCGTAAAGCCACTCTTCAAACATAAATTTTTTTTTTCCCTAATAAGTCTTCTTGTCTACTCTGGAAGAACAAGATAAAACGTTATACGTGAAAAGGCTTTGGGAATATCTGGTCAAAGGCTGCCAAAAATAATTGTAGTTGGTGACAGAATTAAATGGAATTCCTGAGCTGAAGAAACACCAATCAGGCTCATCTCCAGGCAAGGGAAGCCAAGAGTTGCCACGTGACGTCATTTCTCCGCGCCGGGCGTAAAGTGCTTCCACCCTGGCCCCGGGAAGAGTCGCGCGCCATGGGGACCTGGCGGCGTTTGCTGCTCTTTGGCGGGGTGTCATTCTGGGGTGGTGGCGCGGCCGCTGTCCCGCCCCTGGGGTGCCGAGCTTTGGGTTGTGGGCGCCAGGTGTGTGCCGAGCGCGGGCAGGGGTGGTGCGGGCCGGATCGCAGGCGCCTGCGCGCTCCCGCTAGCGGGTTTCCTAAAAGGTGGCTGGAGCTTGTGGTCCCAAACCGTCCCGAGTATGGTTGTGTGTCTTACACATTGCTTTCTTGTTTTGGGGTTGTTTAGTGAATAGGTTAAGGAGAAGGAAAATATGCGGAGGGCTTAACTTGGTAAAAAGGACACTTTTTTTTTAAATCCTCATTTATACTGGCAGAGAAATTTCAGCTTGAACAATTTATCTTTAGATTAGCAGTTGATAAAGAGCACCTAAAGGCTAAATCTATGGCAATGAACAGAATTAGAAAGAAAGCCCTGATAAACCCAGGCTCTGGGTTGTTGTTTTCACTTTTACAGCATAGTAATCCAGTAATGAGGACGATTGGTTTAAATCACTTTTTTTTTTTTTTTTTTTTTAGTTATTAGGCGCTGAGGGTGAGGCCTTGAAACAAAGAAGAACACAAATCATGTCCCGAGGACTTCCTAAGCAGAAACCTATAGAAGGTGTTAGAGAAGTCATTGTTGTGGCCTCTGGAAAGGGTGGTGTTGGAAAGTCTACCACCGCAGGTATTGTAAGGTGTTCCTTCCCCTCCTGACTAATAAGTTGTGCTCTCAAATGCACTGTAAATGACCACCTTTCAGGCTTCATATTTGTGATGCTTTTGACACTGGTTCCTTAGTACTAGGAACTGATAACGTGTTGGAGTGGAACTAATAAACACATTCGTTACCAGATTGCCTACTCAATAGACCAAAAAGTAGTTAGTCTACCGATATTCTATTCACTTAACTGGGAATCTCTTTCAGAAATGGTATGCAAATTACACTGACGGCTTAGCTCAGTGTCTTTTCCATAGACATGCTCAGTAATTGGTTGCTGTTACTTTAAAATCATCTAAAAGCCGGGCGTTGGTGGCGCACGCCTTTGGTCCCAGCACTTGGGAGGCAGAGGCAGGCGGATTTCTGAGTTCGAGAGTTCGAGGCTAGCCTGGTCTACAGAGTGAGTTCCAGGACAGCCAGGGCTACACAGAGAAACCCTGTCTCGGAAAAAAAAAAAAAAAAAAAAACCACACACACACAAAACCATCTAGTAATTGTATACTAAATTATGTGTGTTCTTATCAGTCGGTCATTGTACATGTACCTGAATATTTGCAATGAGAACATTTATCATCGTGTTTGTTTTTCATTTAACCACATAATTTGTAGTATTTATAAAGTCACCAAGACCTATGTCCCTGTGATCAGGTGCATGTGTGTGGAGGGCAGAGGTTAGCATCGGGCGTCTTTGTTGTTCTCCACATTTCCTCAGTGGCTGCCTGGCCACTGAGCTCTCAGGGTCTGCCTGTCTCTCCTCTGTTCTTCCCAGTGCTGTGGTCACGCCCAGGTCTGTATTCGGCAGGCGCTCTACCTGTTTGGAGCTATCTAGTCTTTACACCCTCTTCATCAATATACTAGTGATGGAGAATCTTTTTCACGGCCCTTTTTGGTGACTGTAATTTGTCACTAAGGCGGTGTTTTTAGCACCAAAGACTATGAGTTCTAATCTAAAATAGAACCAACACCCAAGACTAACAGTTATTTCCGAAAGAAATCTTTTATTTCTAAAGAGATTATAATAAATAAAGATATGAGAAACTTTTTGTAGCCCTACCATTAGAAGTCATGTATTGACCTAATCAGCCTTATTGAGCTATATTGGCAAGTAAATATTATGTATTTTGGAGGTTCTAGGGACACACAGCTCTGTGCCGTCACCCTCATCAGCCCGAGGAGGTCATGTAAAGAAAGTTTGTATTTAAAATTAGATGATTTACCTACTATCAATCTGGAATTTAAGTTATTTTGTAATATATAAGTGGATTTGTAAACACCATGTCCTAGATTAAATAAACTTGATATACAGTATTCTTTTAATCCTCACAACACTTATAAAAGTAGGAGACAGCTTCATTTTATAGAGGAGGAAGCAGACTGACAGATAAAAACCTACAGCTGTACAGATACGTAGAACAACATCTATCTTAAAAGGCAGCCAGGGTTATATGGTAATAGAGGGTGGTGGAGCTGGGTTCAGATCCTGGCCTGCTTTGCAGCTTATGCTTGTAAGTACTTTCCTGGTGGAACTGACAGCACTGTTCTGCAGGAAACTGGGATTCACACTATGGAACACGGGAGGTGTGAGTACCCCTATTGATCAGCCTTGCAAATGCAGTACCTTAGGCTCCCTGCTCTCAGCTGTAGCCTGGCTGCAGAGCTGGTTACTATGTTTTGGGGATACTGTTTTCCTGCTTGTCTGTCGAGTCACTGGCATAGGCAGCTTGGCTGCCATACTTGTCTTCTTCACCTCCCTTGTGTGCACGGCATTCCAGGCTCTGTATGCTTGTGCATGTGTGAGTTATCTACGCAGACATCTCTAACACCATTCGTTTAAAAGCAGAATGGGCTACATCTATTAGATACCAAACAGTTAATTTTTACAGACTTTGAGAGTAAACTATGCATTTCATTAACTTTATGGAAACCTAAGTGGAAGATTTGAATACGTTTGTAACAGATTATAAACGGGCTGTTTAAAATGTTCAGCATGAGGTAGGCGTCTGTTGGGAGTTGCAAGGTTACTTTCTATTTTGTTCTTTTATTTCTGGCATCCTCTCCCCATCCTTGCTTTACAAGTGAGGACATGTTGAAAGGTAAGTTAATTTTCATAGAAGGAAAGTTACTAAACTGAATTCTTTCTATTTCTTTCAGTGAACCTTGCTCTCGCCCTGGCCGCGAATGACTCGGTAGGTGTTCATCCATAGAAATACGGATGCGCTACAATGTTTTTAAGGCAGTGATGAAGTGTCCTTGCCTGGAGCTGCATAGTCTAGTTTCAGTCAGTGCAAGTTTTTAAGGGACTAAAAATGCTGCCATTCGTATGGCCTTGTAGTCACAGTGATGTTGCAATCAAATGTTGACCATATCCCATGGTAGCTTTCATGTTCTTGCACTGAGGCTGTTTTTTAAAAATAAAAATGTACGGTTACAGTCTGTATCAGTGATAGTAGTGTTCTGGATTCCACTCTTCTTCTGAAGCCAGGGCCATAGGATGATTCCCAACATGTCTAGAACTTAACTTTGTAGCTCAAGCTAGCTCAGACTCCTTCTGCTTCAACTTCCAAGATTACATAACTGTGTAATCTCAAACCTGCCTGGCTCATCAGAAATACACTTCAACTTATTTCACTCAGTAAAACAAGTTACAAGATACTCTAAAAGTAGTGTTAGTCCTTTGGGGCAGAATTTGAATAGACTGTATAATGTAAGATTGAAGGGTTGTTTATTCTCCCTTTTATGCCGTACAGCTAACTGTAGTTTTATGTGTATTTGTTCATCTTTTAGTCTATATAAAAATCAAACCCACACATTCATGCATATTTTGTGATAGCCCTCATTCATTTTTAAGGTCTGCAGTATATATATGTATGTGTGTGTGTGTGTGCGTGTGTTTGTGTGAGTGTCTGTCATCATGTGTATGAAAAGCCCAAGGAGGTCAAATCCCTGGCATTGGAGTTGCATGCAGTCGTGAGCTGCCATGTTGGGTCTTCTACGTACACAGCAGTTCTCTAACCTGCTGAGCCATCTCTCCAGCCCCTGCACCTCACACTTTTGAGTGAATCTTTAGGTTGGTTCTCCTTTCCCCAACTTATTCCAGTTAAAGAACAGTAGGATTTATTTACCTCTTCCTGTGGGGTTGAGCTCAGGGCTTTATACATGCTAGGCTGACCGTCTACGCTGACCTCCCTAGCCCACTACAGTGGACTTTTTTTACTTTTTATTAAATTTTTTAAACAACAGTTTTTATCTTATCATTTTCCCTCCTCCAATTCTTTCCAGATTTCCTCATCTCCCTATCTACTCAGCTTCATGTTCTCTCTGGAAAAACAGAAACAAACAATAACAAACAAAACCAAAACAGACAATGAACTAAAAAAAAAATACCTAAAAATTAAAGAAAACCAATTAAGAAAAAGAATCAGAGAAACCAAAGCAAACCCAAACTGAAACAAAAAGCACACACAAACCAACAAAAGCATGGAGTCTGTTTTGTGTTGTCCTTTGGAGTGTGGTTGATATTCCCAGTGACGCCCTGCTGAGGAAAATTGACTTTCTGGTTTGCAGCAGGTATCCGTTGCTTCCTCCTCAGGGGTGGGACTTTGTGTCCACTCCCCTTGTCAGCACTGGGGCTTTGTCCAGTTTGAGCTTGTGCAGGATCTGTTTGAGTGTCAGTCCTGTTGTGGCTGGAAGGTGCTATTTCCTTACAGTCATCCACTACCTCCTGCTCTTAGACTCTTTCTGCATCCTCTTCTGCATAGATCCCTGAGTCTTAAGGGGAGGGGTTTGGTGAGGACATCCTATTTATGACTGAGTGCTCCAAAGTCTCTCACACTGCACATTGTCCAATTGTGGGTCTCTGTGCTCCTTCCCATCACTGCAGGAGGAACCCTCTGATGAGGGCTGAGCGATGCACTGGTCTATGGGTCTAGCGATAAGACATCAGGAGTGGTTTTATTGCTGTGTTCCTTTAGCAGAATAATAGTATTAGATTTCCTTCAAGGACTATGACCTATAAAGTCTCAGGTTGTTGGGCAAGTTAGCAGGGTCAGGCAGGGCCAGGCCTCTCATGGAGCAGGCCTGAAGTCCAATCAAAGAGTGGTTGATGACTACCACATTTATGCCTGGATTGCACTAGTATCTTAGAGCAGAAGTAGGTCTCAGGATTGATAGGTGGGTGAAATTGATGGTTACTTTTCTCTGGTAGCATGCAAAGTATTTTCCAGCATCATGAACTCAAGTCAGGAGGGGTGAAGTTGGCACCAGCTCAATTCTCCATGTTCAATGACATAAGCAAATGTTGTCTTTGGTAATAGGGCCGTACCATCAGATAATGGAGAGTAACCACTAGCCTTGGTAATAGCCTGTGATGTTTGCAGGTGTGTGTGTGTGTGTGTTTTGGTGGCACATCTTTTCCACCTACCCAACAAGGTGTTACCCACTCCTGGAACTGTAGGTGGCATAAGATGGCAATATCTAGTTGGGATATTGCCTCCCACATTATATGATAACTAATTTAAATTCCTTTTATATTTGTATATAGTTTAGGAAGCTTCTATAATAGTAGGTTTTTATATGAGTGTTCAAATATTTGGGTTGGTTCCTCCTATAGCAGGGTTTCTTTCTGGGACTGGAAGATTGAACCCAGGGCCTCATGCATTCTAGGCTTGATGCCTACCTCCCAGCCCACCACAATGACATCCTTTTCTTCCTTTCACTTTTTAAATTGTACTTACTAGTACTGTTACTAATATTGTGTATGTGTGTGCAGGCGAGTTGGGTTCCTTCCACTTTGTTTTTGAAGCAGGGCCTCTTCTGTATGTGTGTGTGTGTGTGTGTGTGCGCACGCGTGCTCGTGTGCGTCGGTGCGCACATGCACTGCTGCTACATGCTTCAGGCTAGCTGGCTTGCGACTCTGGGGGATTTTCTTGTTTCTGCCTCTTGTCTTACTTGGAATTCCGGGATTACAGATACACCGCATCATTTTGATGTTTTTATGTGGGTTCTGGGATCAGAGTCAGGCTGTGAGGCTTGTGTGGCAAATGTTTTACTGGCTGAAAGATTTTGCCATGGCAGTCTTAAATTATATTCTTACATGCTAAACAAGTTATATAAATGTTCTCCAGAAAATATGTTTGTTTTTTATCTTAGCTATAGTTTATAGGAATATTTATACTCTTATTTCAGATAGATATCATCTGGTTTTGAAATATTAAAATTAGAATAAAAATGAACGCTGAACATATTATATAACCTTGTAAGTCATTAGTTAATAACACATATCTATTTCATAATTTAATATCCCTTTCATATTTATGAAATATTATTTCATATAGTTTCTTATTTTCAACTTACTGTGTTTTAAAAATGTTCTATCATATTTTGTACTAATATATGAAATATATAAAGTGCAAATTTATATATATATATATATATATATATATATATATATATGACATACAGGCAAGAATTAATTAATTAATTGATGTGTTTAGTTGTGGCTGTATGTCTCACTTATTTTCTGTCATGCAGTTTTAGTTTCCCATGGACAGCACATATGAGAAAATGACATGTGCTATGTATGTCAGTGTGCTGTTGAGCTAGCAATCCAGAGTTTGCTAGAATGCAGGGCTAGGTATGTTCACGTCTTAAGATTTGGCCCTTGTTTCTGACAGTGTTAGGATATTACACATTCACGGTGTTTGTTAGTTCAGGTCACTCACCTCATTCACTGCAGAAGCAACTGTCTTCCCTGGACATGTAGAGAGCAGATGCCGCAGTGTTTAAGGCTGTGTTCCTGCATCAAGGAAAGTCTACCGTCAAGTCAAATTAAAAGCCCATTTCTTTACAGGTCTCTTCCTTTCTGGGGGACATACATTCCAGCATCTCATTTGTCTTGTCCTTTTCCCTGAGTTTCTTTTTTGTTTTTGTGGATGCATCCTTGAGTTCTTCTGTGGGTCGGTAGGCAGATTAATGGCTAAAATTGTCTTACTCAAGAAGCTTACCTTTAATTGCAGAAGGGAATTGGTGGCGTGATTAAGGTGAAGATCATTTTTAGAGTTTTTGGTAGGATCAGCTCAATCTTAAGAGAGAGAGGGGCAAGAGTGCGAGGAGGACTGGGAGGAGCCAAAGCAGTGGGTATGGCATTGTTCCAGCCCCACCACTGTCGCTTGGTGCCGCTCATTGGACTTCAGTGATACTTTGTCCAGAAAGAAATCACAGAGGAGTACAAACAGGAAGTTAGCTCTCCTAGTTCTTTACTTTCTGAACATATCTTTATATTTGATAATTTAAATGACAATGTAGAATTCTAGGCTCACAATCACTTTTTGAACTTTGAAAACAATATTCCATTTTCCTCTGAAATGCTAATGAGAATGCCTGATGCTTTTCTGATCCCTATTACCCTGTAATGACATGTGTTGTTTTCCTTCTCGAAGCTTTTAAGGTTTTCTTTATGGCTTTTAAAGTTTAAAATTGTCACAAATGTGTCGGGTTATTGGCTTTAAAAGCTGCTGCATGCTTGGAAATTGGCTGTGAGCGCTCTCAGTGTAGAGGCGGCCTCCGTGTGTCTGGTCTTCATCTGAGTGTCTGTTCTTCATCCGCGCGTCTCTTCTCACTGTGGGAGCAGGGGCTGACCTGCATGCGGTTCATTTTTCTCCCGTGCTCTTTGGCTGTTGGTCATCTGTGTTTCTCAGCAGACCTTATACTCCTTTGCCCACGCCTCTGCTCCATTACAGATATTCAGCCCTTCTGCATTTCTTAAGTTTGGAGATTGCGTCATCTAATTTTCTAGACCCATTTCTTACTTTCAATTTAATGTTTCTTAAAAAAGAAGGACTGGGAGGTGTTTGTAGAACTCTGATAATTAGAATTAAGAGAAATGTGGCTTCCTCTTTCTTGTTTGTTTTTGGTCTTTGTTTATTTAGGATAGTAGGATAGTTGCTTTCTCAATGCCCCTGAGCAGCAGAATCAGTACCCCTGGGGAATTTTTGGACACAGAAGTTCAGCCCTACTTCAGAACTTACTGTTGCAGCAGAGCACTATGCGGTCTGTTTGAACTCTCTGGATGGTTCACTGCTGAAGTCTGAAACCATGGACCTAGATAGAGATCTGGAGTTTTCTTAAAAATGTCTGGTCTGCTAATAGCCCCCTTTCTGTTTTAGTTTTAAATACGGGATAGTTTAGT